AGCAGTAGGGCGCTTACGCCCCACCCAGAGTGTAGCAAACCGCCCACACCCCACCCAAGTGTGCAGCAGGCAGCGCCACCCCACAGAGTGCAGCAGGCCGCCCACACCCCACAGAGTGTTGCAGGCCGCCCACACTCCACCAAGTGCAAAGCAGGCCGCCCACGCCCCGCCCACACCCCCACCAGGTGGCTGCCCACGCCCTCCCACACCCCACCCGGAGTGGGCAGACCGCCCACACCCCACCCCAGAGTGTTGCAGGCTGCCCACACCTCACCCAGAGTGTTGCAGGCCGCCCACACCCCACCCAAAGTGTTACAGACCGCCCACACCCCACCCGGAGTGCAGCAGACCGCCCACACCCGCCCGGAGTGCAGCGGGCAGCCCACACGCTGCCTGGGTGTATACAGTGCAATGGGCCGCCCACACCTTACCCAGAGAGCAGCGGGCCGCCCACGCCCCGCCCACACGCCGCCCGGAGTGCAGCTGGCCGTCTACACCCCACCCAGAGTGCAGCGGGCCGCCCACACCCCACCCGGAGTGCAGCGGGCCGCCCACACCCCACCCAGAGTGCAGCGGGCCGCCCACACCCCGCCCAGAGCGTTGTCTCGGAGCATGGGCGTGAGCGTACGATGCACACTGCTCCCTAGTCCTTGACTTATTATTTATTGCTAAACTTGAAGCGCCCTTAGCGGAGGGGCGGAACCCTGGGCGGCCGGAGGAGCCACACCCGCCCTTGTGGACGGGGGCGGCAAGGTCGGAATGTGCGTGGCGGGGCGGCGCGGGTGGTGCCCCTCCACCCTAGGTAGGGGAGGGGGGGAGGGTCGGTGATGGTAGTGGCAGCAGCATCCAGGTGACTCTCCGCCTCCCTGCTCCTCCACCACACCTGTAGCACACCTGTTACACGCACCTGACACACACCTGTAGCACATCTGTTACACACACCTGTTGCACACACCTGTGATACCTGTAATAGACGCGCAGTGGTAGCATCAAGGTGACTCCTCCTTTCGGCCAACCTCCTCCTCCACGCCTCCCAACACACCTGTCCCACACACCTGTACCACACCTGCTTGTTCATCATTGCCTCTCACCTTATAACACAGGTGTATATACGTGCCTCTTTTGTCGACTCACCTCACCTACACACCTGTCCTTTACTTCTAGAATGAACACAACCACATGTGCACACACACCTGCCACACACCTGTCTAACTCTCCCGCTGACTGTACTCTACACCAGGGAAGGTCAGCTCTCCTCACTACCGCAGCTTGGCCACCCCGTGTCTCGTAAATCACGGACACACGGACGGACAGACGCACGGACGGACGGACAGACAGACACACGGACGGACAGACACACGGACGGACAGACACACGGACGGACAGACACACGGACGGACGGACACGGACGGCACACACGGACGTGATGAACGATGGACACACGGACGCGGACGCGGACGAGGAGACACACGGACGCGACAGACACACGGACGTGATGAACGGACAGACACACGGACGGACAGACGCACGGACGGACGGACAGGACCTTACGGATGACGACGCGCGACAGAATTTACGGACGGACAGACGCACGGACGGACGGAGATTGTCGGACGAACGGAGATGACAGACACGCTACGGGTTTGGACGGATAGACTCCACGAACGCAGACGGACGGACAGACGCAATGGACGGACGGCGAAACAGGTTATCAGGACGGACGGACGGACGGACAGACACACGGACGGACGGACGGGACAGGACACACGGGACGACGGATGTATGAGCGATGTGTGTCACCATGCCTGCACACTATGCTACCTGTACACCACACCAACACACCTGTACACCACACCTGTACACGTGTCATCAGTATGCGGGGGATCACTCGAGTGTACAGTTGCAAATGTACACCCAACCATTTAGCAGCGGGGAGAGGAGAGGTGTAGTGGTGGAGGGTGTAGTGGTGGAGAGGTGTAGTGGGTGGGAGGTGTAGTGGTGGAGAGAGGTGTGGTGGAGGGTAGTGTGGGAGTGTAGTGTGGGATGGTGGGAGGGAGGTAGTGGTGGGAGGTGTAGTGGTGGAGAGGTGTGTGGGAGGGGTAGGGGAGAGGTGTAGTGGTGGGAGGAGGTGTAGGGTGTGGGAGAGTGTGTGGAGAGGGTAGAAAGTGGTGGTGGGAGAGGTGTAGTGGTGGTGGGGTGTAGTGGTGGAGAGGTGTAGGTAGGTGTAGTGGGTGGAGAGGTGTAGTGGTGGTGGGGTGTGTGGTGGGGAGTGTAGCGGTAGGGGTGTAGGTGGAGAGGTGTGGTGGTGGTGTGGTGTTGGTCGGCAGTGTCACGTGGGAAGTTAGTGGTGAGTGCCAAGCAGTGCCACCCTCAGACACAGACAGATAGACAAACACTGATTCCAGACACACAGACAGACAGACAGGTGGACAGACAGACAGGTGGTTGCGGTGCGGTCATCAGCTGGTGGTGGATCACACAGCCCAGGGTATCAGTCACCCAGGCCTGGCGTCAGGTGTCATACAGAAGTCTTCAACACACCTGTAGCACCTGAGCATACCATAGTTCTACCTACCACACAGGTCCTCAAAGGCTAACAATGTTTCCACCGTGTGTGTGTGTGTGTGTGTGTGTGTGTCTCTCACACCTGTCCGTCCTTTCCATAAGTTTATCCCTCCTTCCTCCTTTCCTCCTCCTCCTCTTCCTCCCTCCTCCTCCCTCCTCCTCCTCCTCCTGTCTTTTAGAGTTTGTTTACATTTGTGTCTTTGAAGGGAAATCGAGGAGAGAGAGAGACTGAGAGGGAGAGAGACAGAGAGAGGAAAGGATGGAAGGAGAGAGAGGGAGAGGAGAGGGAGAGGAGGAGAAGAAATAGTGAGGGAAAGTGATACCTGTTCTCCTGGTGTGAGGAGCTCCAGGTGGTGTGATTACCTGGTGAGGGAGTGAGTGACCTGGTGAGGGGGGTGAGTGACCTAGGGAGTGGGTGAGGGAGGAGGTGGTGGAGGACCTGATGAGGGGGGTGGAGTGACCTGGCTGGGAGGGGAGAGGAAGGAGTGGGAGGGGGTGAGTGACCAGGAGGGGGTGAGGAGGGAGAGGAAGGAGGTGAGGGGTGAGGTGGGGGTGGAGGACCTGGTGAGGGGGTGAGGACCTGTGAGGGGGTGGGAGTGACCTGGTGAGGGGGTGAGGACCTGGTGAGGGGAGTGACCTAGACCTGTGAGGGGGTGAGTGACCCAGAGGAGAGGAAGGGGTGGAGGGGAGGTGGTGAGGGGGGGGGGACCTGGTGAGGGGGTGAGGACCCAGAGGAGAGGAAGGAGGTGGTGAGGGGGGTGAGGAGGAGGGGTGAGGACCTAGGAGAAGGAGGTGGAGGTGGTGGTGAGGGGGTGAGGACTCCTGAGGTAGAGGGGTGAGACCTGATGAGGGGGTGGAGGACCTAGGAGAGGGTAGATGAGGGGGGTGAGGACCAGAGGAGAGGAGGAGGTGAGGGGGGTGAGGGGGTGAGAGTGGGGAGGACCAGAGGGGAGAGGGAGGGTGAGGTGGTGAAGGTGAGTGACCTGGTGAGGGGGTGAGTGACCTAGAGTGGGAGAGGAAGGAGGTGGTGAGAGGGGTGAGTGACCTGGTGAGGGGGTGAGTGACCTGGTGAGGGGGGTAAGTGACCTGGTGAGGGGGTCAAAATAGTGTCCCATGATACAACATCCTGTCCAGGTTCACCAGGATGTCACGTGATGTCCCATCCTGTGTCCCAGTCCCTCACGGTATCCCACCATGTCCTATATTAGTATGTGCCAATATATACCATCTTTAGGGACACATTTCCAATAAACCTACATGTCCTAACCTACTGGAGTGTCCCATTTATTTTAGCATGTCCCAGAATAGTTGTATGTCCAGGTTAGCGATGTCCCACAGTGGCGGAATGTCCCCTCCCATATCCCAGAATGTCCCCTCCCATATCCCAGAATGTCCCCTCCCATGTCCCAGAATGTCCCCACCCATGTCCCAGAATGTCCCCTCCCAGAATGTCCCAGAATGCGGGTCCACGTCTCAGCTGGTCAGTCTCCCACATTCCTGCCAGTAATTATATTCAGATGGCCGCCCAGTACAATGTGGTGGATCCATTATTTATGGTTAGTCTTCCTGTCAATGACTGAGTCCGCCAGCCAGTCAGTCAGTTAGTCCAGTCAGTGAACCAGTTAGGGGTCAGTTAGTCCAGTCAGTGAACCAGTTAGGGGGTCAGTTAGTCCAGTCAGTCAAGCAGCTAGGGGGGTGGGGGAGGGGGGTCAGACAGTCAGCTAGTCAGTCGGTCAGTCACCTACTCATCTACTCACCAGTTCAATCAGTCAACCAGTCATAAGCATTTTTTACCTCGCTAGTTAAGGAGTCTAAAAGCCTTAATTAATGTACGTATGTCTGTCTGTGAGTCATAGCTTAAGTGAGTCGGTCAGCTGCATCCCCCCTCCACCACCATCACCCCCACACCCCTCCATCCCCACCACTCCCCACACCCCTCTCCATCCCCTCCACCACCACCACCCCACACCCCTCCATCCCTCCACCACTCCCACACCCCCTCCATCCCCACCATCACCCCCCACACCCTCCATCTCTCCTCCACCACCACCCCCACCCCTCCATCTCCACCACTCCCACACCCCACACCCCCTCCATCCCTCCACCACCCCACCACCCCACACCCCTCCATCCCCTCCACCACACCCCCCACACCCCTCCATCCCCCCCCTCCACCACCCCCACACCCCTCCATCCCCCTCCACCACCCCCACACCCCTCCATCCCCCCTCCACCACCCCACACCCCCTCCATCCTCCCTCCACCACCCCCCACACCCTCCATCCCCCCTCCCACCACCCCCACACCCCTCCATACCCCCTCCACCACTCCCACACCCTCCACCACCCCTGCACCTCCATCCTCCACCACCCCCTACACCCCTCCATCTCCTCCACCACCACCCCCACACCCTCCATCTCCCTCCACCACCCCACACCCCCTCCATCCCCCCCTCCACCACCCCTTACACCCCCTCCATCTCCCCCTCCACGACCCCCACACCCCCCTCCATCTCCGCGCCACCACCACCTCCTCACAGCCCCCACCACAATCTATCCCCACCATACTCCACACCTTACCCACACCCTCTTCACACCTCTAATACTTCACCCCCCCACACCACGCCCTCACGTTGAAGGTCGGATTCTAACTTAAGGTCGTTTAAGAATCGACTTTTTTTGTCGTATCTTAAGTTAGTGAATTACGAGGAGGAAATTGTTTCACCTGATAATTAAAAACCTGAACGCTAACATAACCTAACCTAACGCTAACCTAACCTAACGCTAACCTAACCTAACCTAACGCTAACCTAACGCTAACCTAACGCTAACATAACCTAACCTAACGCTAACCTAACCTAACCTAACCTAACCTAACCTTTTGAGTGAGAATCCATCTGTATGTAGTAATATACTTAGGTGAGTCAGGTAGGAGAAAGGGGGAGGGAGGGAGGGAGAAGGGAGATAAGACTAAGGGAGGGAGGAAAATACTGAAGGAAAGAGGGTGAGGGAGGACTGCGGGTGGCGGCGTCTTTAGTTTTCGTTTTACCAGGTCATGTTGTTATGTCCTGGATGATTGTTAGGGTGTGT